CACCCTTAGAGCTTGGACATAACCATGAGGGACACACTTGAGTGTGGAACAAAAGTTTATTTCAATAGTCAAAAGCTACACAAATGTTTGAGCAACATTGCACACTGAGCAACACTTTATTTCTGATGTTGGCAGATTTCGACATCATTTACGTGTGATCTTTTTCTTTGGATCGCACGTGAGTCAACAGTGAAATTAAAGTACTTGAAAATGCACCACATTTTCAAGCTTTAAAAAGTTGCACTTTGATCAGCTGGATGAAATCTCACCTATATCAAACGAGGTTTGACCCAAGCTATCTCAGTTATCTTCGACCAAAGTCATACTAGTACTAAGAGTGTTTGAGTCAACGTTATACCTCTTGCTCCTTTTAACCAAATTTACCTTGTGTTAATCAAAAATGGTTTTGCGGGGACTGCGATTGGCTGGCAACCAGTTCAGGGTGTCCGCCGCTGACTGCTTGAAGACAGCTGAGATAGGCTCCAGCATGCCCCGCGACCCTTATGAAAATAAACGGATCAGAAAATGGAGGGATGGATGAATGGATGGTTTTGCGGGGAGCCATTCTGCAAATCTAAATATTTCCACATCAACCAAAGATTCAGCAAAGTGAGCCTCGAAGTAATAAAGACCGTGAGCTGCGTTACAGGGGGCCAAAAATACAGCCTTCTGATTCATGACTCCTCCTCTAGAAAAAAGAAAAGCAACACAATTCCTAAGTACAAATACATGCACGTGATTAGCCGTTTATAGCAGTCACACTTCCAAGTAACACGAACTTTATCTCAACTATGACAATAAACATAAAGGCCGTTCCAGCAAATCAATGCCATTTGCTTGTTGTCACTCCCTTAAAAAAATGTCATTGATGGCTTTTTTCAATCATATCTGAAAATACAGACATTGAACTGTGTGTCTTCACCCGTCTCGACAACTCCATTTTTTGGGGTCATTGTAATGAGACTTCCCGCGACCTGGACGATAAAAGCGGATCAGAAAATGGATGGATGGATGGATTGTAATGAAACTCCCTATTTGAGAAACATGAATGAAATCACCCAGAAATTTTAGCATAGAATTAGCAAATACATGAAAAAGGAAATTATGCAGATCACATGTTAACAGGAAGCACATTAAAGTCGTAAAATCATCCATCCATTCATCCATCCATCCATCCATTTTCAATACCGCTCATCCTGAACAGGGTACTGGAGCCTATTCCAGCTGACCGCGGGCAAAAGGCGGACTACACCCTGAACTGGTCGCCAGTCAGTCACAGGGCACATATAGAGATGAACAAACATTCGCACCCACATCCACACCGTCACTGAGTGGCAACCGATCTCACGCTGCACGCACACATGTCAGGCGAGTCGACCACTACACCATCAGGAACCAAATAATTATATGCATCCATTCATTTTCTGATCTGCTTTATCCTCACAAGGTTCGCAGAGGGTGCTGGAGCCTATCCCAGCCGTCTTTGGACAGTAGGCAGGGGACACCCTGAACCAGTTGCCAGCCAATCGCAGGGTACACAGAAAGAAACAACCATCCGCGCTCACATTCACACCCCGGGACAATTTGGCGTGTTCAATCAGCCTGTTATGCATGTTTTTGGAATGTGGGAGGAAACCGGAGTACCTGGAGAAAACTCACGCACGCCTGGGGAGGACATGCAAACTCCACACAGGAAGGCCGGAGCACGGATCGAACCCACGACCTCGGCACTGTGAGGTCGACGTGCTAACCAGTGGACCACGGGGCCGCCAAATAACTATGTTTTAAAAATAGCGTCAAACACAAATGTAGGGATTTTAACCCAGCCCCCTTACTCTTAGCCTTCCCATGGCCTACAGAGGAGCCCGGGACAGAAAGAGACTGGAGCGACTGGTCCGGGGGGCCAGTTCTGTCCTGAGCTGCTCCCTAGACACTGTGGAGGAGGTGGGCAACAGGAGGATGCTCGCTAAACCAAAAGCTATGATGGACAGTCCCTCCCACCCCCTCCAGCCCACCCTGACAGCACTGGGTAGCTCCTTCAGCCAGAGACTGTTACACCCGAGCCACAAGAAGGAGAGATACCGCCGCTCGTTCCTACCGACTGCTGTCAGGCTGCTGAATAAACATACGTGAAAACCTGTATCCATTGTAAATAGCACAGCCACCTTATGCTGTGTTTTCTATGCTATTGCTAATTTATTATATTTATTCTACAAATATATTGCTAATGCAATATTTTATATTGCACTTATATTGAATTGTGTACAGTTCTTCTCTGAAACATTTATTTTGTGCAATGAAACACTTTGCCCCCCCCCACCATTTTGCTGCTGTAGACTGCAAATTTCCCCAGTGTGGGACAAATAAAGGTTATCTTATCTTATCTGAAACTGACTTCTTTGTGTGGATCTTCTTCTTCTTTGAAATAAAGTGTGGATAAAGAGGACATAACACAAATGTGTGAAACATAAAAGGATAAAGGCTTTAAATGATTACATTTCACGGTAATATCTAATTTTAGGAACCGGGGACAGGCAACAAATGTTTTTTTGTTTTTCCCCAGTGCTCTAGATAGCTTATCTTAATTGTATGCCTTATATGCTGACAAATCACTGTGTCACTTGATTGAAAACAAATGTATTTTCTAGTTAATTTTATCTGCATCTATATTTGCTTTCCTCGTGATACAAATGGCACTGATTAGTTGGGATGGCCTTTATACAGTTCTGAAGAAATTGAAATGTCGCGAAACCCATGCCACTCTGTCCTACTTTACTTGTTTATGCTGACTGCACCTGTCTAAATACAGCATTACTTTACTGGTGGTGTTTCCCTTTGCGATTGTGCCAGTAAGTCCACCGCCATATCTGGTTTTCTCATTCTCACTTTGTTTCCGATTTTGATTTTAAAAAATGATGGCTCTGTTCGTTAAAAATGTATTTAACAAAGAATTATCGGGTAAGATTTAGATACCAGTGACTTGAATGCCATTTTGAAACAGATGCAGTATTTTTCGATTCCTTAAAACTCTGCCCCCAACTCATTCATCTCCTCATGACTGCAACTCCAGAAAGGCAAATTACAAGTGCTTTTCAGATGTGATTTTAATTAATGAGCCATTGGTCACAGAACTTCAAAAATAGGGTCAGACATCTGACAATTGATCATTCCGATTGACTGTTAGCTAGCCAATCAGTGCATAAGAAAAAAAGTACACAAAAGCAAAGCCTTAGCAAAGAAATGGCATGATCTTGTAGATTAAACTCAGCAAAACGTTGCCTTTTACTTCATCTACAATTAAGGCTTAATTCCGATTTTTTTTTTTTTTTTTTTTTCCAAATCCGACCAGGGCCACTTCCCTCTGTGATTCTCGATCAGCTATGTGTCAGGTTTTTGTCAATGCATTCTGAACGGGCAGGTCACATTTATCCAACCTAGACATCACTGAAAGATCAAGCTGCACTCCGCCGCAGGCAGGCGGCGGAGGGAAAGCGCTCCGGAGGGAGATTGATGGTTTGAATGTACGTGAATCTGCAAAGTTGTTTTGAGTAACAGTATGATTGAAGTTTATATATTCCTTTAATTTATTCCCACTTGAAACATGAAGCATAAAGTGGATATTTGTGGTGAGAGGAGTAATCCACTCACACAGACAGACAGTTCATTTACTACATGCAGCGATGACATGATGTCATCCCAAAAAATGTTTTCTTCCTCCCGCATCACTCCTCTGTAGATATGAGATGATGAAAAGATTAGACCCTACTTACTTCCATAAATGCTACATTGTGAGTGACATCGTCTCTTCTTCGGCACATGTGGGTCACTTCAGGGACGTATATATTCACACACCAGGCAGACCCGAGCTCACATCCCGAGCTCACATTTAATGTGTAATGTGAATGCATACAGCCCCCCTCAGAAAAAAAACAAAACAAAAAATCTGATTTCACCAAAAAATACAAATTGAGCGTTAAGACCTGCAGTGTGAACCTGGCCTAAAACTTGTTCTTGGTTATGAGTGTACAGTTTTGGGCAAGGTTCTGTAAATATCTGCATTTTATTTCATGAAAACCTTGACCACAGTTGGTATGATAAATCATGACGTTTTGTGCCCCTTGACTTCTCACTGAGATACTGTGTCATCCTGGTCACCCTACTGAAAAATACAGTACAGGATATGGCTGATCTGCCCGTGAACATGTTATCTTTCATCGCGGTTTGGTCAGAAAACTCTTTCGGCGTTCGTAATCTATCTATCTTGGGCTACCTGGCAAGCAAAGCAGTTTTATATTTTTTTCAAGTTTGGGAACATTTTATTCGCTTGCTATCTCGACTGCTCTCTAGTTAGGAAAAATGTAGCCTTTATGATGTCCTATTTATGGGTTTTTTTTTAATCTACTGTATATCCATATCCTATAGATTTAGGAAATATTTACTTGTTAAAATTGTATCAATTCTTGTCTTGCCAGATATAGCTACACTGGATGGATAACTTGTTACGGTCAAAATTACCGTATTTAACTGGCAGCAGTGATCCAGTAAAATACTGTAAGTTTCAACAATATCTTTCTGTGCTTATGATTTCCAGTATAATAGCCTGCTGTAAATGTATGTGTTGTTAATATACGCTGGGACAAAATTATTGGGTGAAATTTTCCAGCAAAGTCTTTTCAGTTTTACACCAAATGCTGAACAGCGTCGCGATGGAGCTCTCTGGTTTTAGGTGTGTGATTTTTAAGTGATTTGGATACAAAAACAACAGAAGTTTAAAATTAGAAAAATATTTATTTGTTCACATTGTCTCTTCACGTGACGACATCAATCCATTGCAAAGGCTTTATTAATCGTGTAAAAACGACAACAACAACAATGCTGATACATTCGTACTTCACACATGTGAGTGGACGTAGATAGTCCTACATCATTTTGGTAAATGACAGCAGCAATGTGGCTGTATGAATATGATGTTTGCCTTTCGTAAAGTGAAGTCTCAATGCAGGCATGTAAAATTGTTTTATTTTCATGCGGTCGGCGGTGCACGCCTGATACCTGCTTCTTTGAACAAATAGCAAAAAACGATGTAGGTCCCTCAGAACGTGGGAGTGGTCTCTTATCAGGAACTCAATGTTTTGGCTCAGAAGCTTCCGTGAAGGTCTCTGGAAGCCAAGTGGACTCCCTTTTTCTCACATCACAAATGCAACGATTTTGACAAAGGGGATTCCAAAGCAAGGGTCCTTTTGAAACATACATGCATACATATGTACATATGTGGACACATGTCCTTTTTTCAAGTGTGCAACTCTGCAGAAAAAGTCTCCGCAGAACTCCAGTGCAACAACAAAAGTGGTGAAAAGTGGTTTTGTTTTTACGGCTATTCACATATGTACAACCACGTATTTCTTATAAATATTTCCACAACGCACAATACCCAGGATCCTACTCATGTACAGAATTTCTATAATCTTTTGATGTTAGGAATATGTCTCTCTTATTTAAGTGCATAGGATCGGGCAAAAGCCCTCAGTACAGTTTCATTTCCATGTGCAACAACATGTTTGTGTCAAAGTATGTTCTGCTTCTTTCACTAATTAATACTTCCTTTTTTTTTTTCTCATGGTTGGTTTAGCAGCTGCATGAAAGCCCCTTTGTTGTCCTGAGATGGGTGTCAAAATAAATTAATTAATTTAAAATAGCAGACGTATAATAAATTAACTCGCCGGGATGTCACTGGACGCTCTGGACCTACACATTCAACTTGTAACTTTTAGCGCGTGGCCGACATGACCTGCGGAACCACACCCAGTATAAAACCATCATGATCAGCCAGTAACACAAGTAGACCACGCAGCCAAAGATAAGAAAGTCCGTTTCCATTATCTTGGCTGGGGTAAACCAGTCCATTTGACTCTCTCTGTAGATTGTGTAACCCAGTCCTGATAATAGAATGGCTGCCCACACTGACAGCGGCAGCAGGGGCATGTAGTTCCCCACAATCTTCCGCCGGCCCGACGTCCCCCAGCTGCTCTTGTTCATGGTGAGGATGGCGAAATACTTGGCCGGCAGCAGGCTGGTCATGTACAAAGCCGAGTAGAGGGACATGAACACCATCACCAGGTCCCTGCGCAGGATGCAGGCGTACGCCGCTTTCACCAGCCCGATCAGCTGGATGCAGCACAGTACCCACAGGATATCCCACAACGTGCCCGTCCAGAACAGCTGGATGATGGTGGCCGTGACGAAGAAGGGGAACACCCCAGACACGATGGACTCGTATGTCATCCACAGGTGGTGCTTGTGCCACCACATGGCATTGAAGAGCCACTCGCGGAAATAGGACTTTGTCCAGCGGGTCTGCTGGTTGAGCCAGCGCAGAAATTGAGCTGGCGTCTCTGTGTAGCATTTGGAGCGAGATGTGTATCTGGAAAGGAAAAAGATCAGTGGAGACTCCACGTTAGAAACTTCAGATACGCTGCCAGCTCGAATAAAGTGAAAGAGCGATCCTTCCCGATGCACTGTCAATAGGTTTATTGCTTGAGACAAACAGTCACACACACAAATACAAAATGAATACATTCACAAGGAGCACTGAGAAGATGGTAAGATTGAATTAACCAAGCAGGGCAACCCGAGCTGGAATCAGAGCTCTTGATGTTACGCACTAGGCCACCAACTACTATTGTATGGCTTTTATATTTAATACAGAGGAGTGACGTCATTATAGAATGACAACTGTTAACTATGCTGCTGCCAGTTTCTGAAGCCGTTTTCCTCTTCATGGTCATGGGAAGCTGGAGGCTATCCCAGCTGACTTTGGCCAGAAGTTTCAAATTCTCATCGATCCATCCATTTTCAATAGCATCCATCCTCATTAGGGTCACAACTGAGTTGGAGCCTTTGCCAGCTGACTTTGGCCCAGAGGCAGGATGCACCTTGGACTGGTCGCCAGCTATTTACTATGTTGCTTTCATACAATTGTTTCCTTCATTTGGAGAAACAAAATTTGCCTTAAATGTAATTTTGCCGTGTATGTCCCACTTCCCATTCCTCCAGACAGGATGCCATGTGCCACAACCTTTGCCAATCAAACAGGCCAGTGGAAGTGCCTGGCCTGCCGGGTAAAAATGACATGACCCAAATTGTGACTAGCAAGCAGGTGACCTGTCGAGGAAAATTCACCGAAGCAATTCAGTGGCTTGACAGCGAACGTTTTATTTCAGCAATAAAGTTTTATATTGAATCACAAATCAGTGTGGAACACAGATTAGCGTCTGTTATCGATATCATTATGACATGTGGCCAACTTTACTGTGAAGAAAGACCACTGGCGGTGGGTGATCTTGTGCAATTACGGCAGCGCTATATATTGTTGCTTACTTTGTGGCGTATCCCATGCTCAGCATACGGTTGGTAAGATGTCTGTCATCTCCAAAAGTGCAGTGAGTCCCTAAAAATTTCTGATTGTACCAAGATTCCAGAAATGCCTGAAGCAGATCATTCCTATAGAGACCTAAAACAGAAAAGTGACAAATTTATATTTATGGCTACAGATTGGAATAGTGTCAATCTCGCTCCAGAAATAAACATACCCAAGGGTCCACTTATGCAGGAGACGCAGTTGAAAAAAGACTGACAAGACCGCTCTATGTTGAAGGCCATCCAGTAGCGAAGACTGCTCATGAAGCTTATGTACGAGTCCTTCATGTTGAGGATCATCACATCCCCGCCGACTGCGCCGTACTTGGTGTTACTCTCCAGCACCTTGCACAGCTCTACTGTAGCCAGGGAGTCCAGCTTGGTGTCCGAGTCGCATACCTGTACAGATGAATGGGAAAACGTTGGAGCATGCCTGTCATTGTTGTACGCTCCGTTTGTCTCCGTTTGTATGTGTTGCTGCTCCATGTGTGTTAAGGAACCCCTTTTTTTAAGGTTTATGATTACCGTACCATCTACGCAAATTTCCATTAGCCTGTCTACAGCATTTCACATTATATGTTAGCATTAAGCTAGCAGGCTTAGGATAGACAAAATGAATGGCTTAAATACAACACTTGTGCGTTCTTTTGTCCTCATGAGTACAACGATTCGCTCCTCTCTATAGGAACATGACACGGGATGTAACAACATTATCACTGGGAAAAAGCGAAGGCTTAAAACTACCTGCTAAACTGTCCAATGTCCCACAGATTTGGAACCATCTTGAATCTCATCTTAAAGCTGCCCAATCTCTCCACATCTTCAAGGGGAAACTAAACACTGAATTATTGTGTCGGCATTAATAATTTGTTTGAATCTACTGACTGTGATCAATATCCCGTTTGTCTGTAAACTCTTAATTGAATGTATCTTTTTGTGTTTTGTTTTGTCTTGCTATGTGTTTAAATATCCTGAGCCGCCACAAAATAAGTAGCTTCTAGTGGTTTCTCTTTCACATGTTGTCATTGGGTAAAGTTCAGGTCGCCCTCATGATAAATATGCAAGGTGATACTTGACATGTAAATAAGGTCAAAGTCAAAGTAGCTGTCCAGTTGGATTTGCAAAGTTGTCTTACTAGTGAGGACAATGAGCATACTAGTACATTGATCTTAAACTAAATGTCAAGAATAGCATATAAATGTTGGAGCATTTGTCGGTATCCAACAACAGCAATGAACTGTCTTAGTGAGGACAAAGAGCATACGATAATATAAACCTTCAGCTGCATATCTAGGATATTGATAAAAAATTGTCCAACATCCTGAGGGGAACCTGAGCGAGAGAAGAAATCGACTTACCTGGATGTAGTCGACTGAAGATCCGAGGGCCTTAAAGGCAGTGTACATCACTTCCCGCTTGCCTCCCCATTTCTGCATGATGCACACATGGCTCTTGGTCTGAATCAGGTGCTCCACTTCCTTTCGTTGGGGGTCCTCTCCTTCAAAAAAGAGGCTCACAGCACCGGTCTCCTCATCGAGATACACCTTATTGGGGTCCCACGTGTGGTAGTTGTTGTTCCACACGTAACACGCTGGGTCCTGGTCGGCAAACACCTCCCTGAACATCTCCATCATGTAGCGGTCATCGTCGCTGTTCCCGTCTACCACCATAATGATGCGCAGCAACTCAGATGGGTACTGGAGGGCCCGGACAGAGTTGAGGCACTCTCTGAGGTAGACGGGGTCCTCCTGGTAGGCCGAGATGGTGAAGCCGATGGTCTTGGTGAAGGTGCATGGCTTTTTGCGGCTCCTCATTTGCCCCTGCTCAATGAAGGCGAAAAGACTCTGGACCAGCACGTGGAGTGAAAGCAGGAGGCCATAAAAGCCGAAGGAGATGATTCCGTACAAGGAGGTGGCCAGTTGGAAACCTTCGACGTAGGCCCACACCATCACACCAAGAACGACCAGTGCAAAGAGGAATGTGAAGATGGCTCGGAGTATTGAGCCCAGCTTCTTGAGGAGAGGTTTCAGCTCCATTGTGTGTCTTCACCTATATAGAAAGCACACACAAGGGATAAGATGGAAGGTCAGTGCACCTGTTCAAGCGCGAAAAGAAGAAAAACATCCAACAAAGTCAGCGAGTGGTTTTATGAGGACTTGTTAAAAAGAAAAGCCATTGCGAAAGTAACACGCTCCCAGATCTACTTAAGTCTGTGCTATCCTCATTTGAAATAATGCCAAAGGACACAAACATTAGAATCACAATTGTCAATTGGACATCGAAGCCAAGTGGATTACTGTTTGTGTCTCCCTTGATTCCGGGGCTATTTTTAAAAAAGAAAGCTAAATATAATTCCAAATGGAAGCTATTTCAAGCATGACTGCTTGTCCAGTAAAGAGTTATTCATAACCAGTGGACAGATGACTAAAAATACAATATTTTGTTGTCTAATATAGAACGAATTTGATTTAAGTATAAGTGGTAGTACACTAAACTGTACAGTTTCACTCATAAGAGATATTTCAGATTCAGAAAACTTTATTTATCCCCGTGGGGCAAATAAAGTTTTCTGAATCTGAATCTGAATATTTAACTGAAATGAAACTATTGGGGGAACCTGTTAAAGAATATGAATAATAATAAGAAGAAGAATCTATCCATTTTCTAAACCGCTTATCCTCACGAGCGTGGCGGTCGTGCTGTTTGCCAGCCAATCGCAGTAATAATAATAATAATTATTATTATTATGCTATAGGGATATAGGGATATTATTATTATTATTATTATTATTATTATTATTATTATTATTATTATTGTAATTATAATAATTATTGTATTTAATAATATTGTAATTATAATAATTACTATTGTATTTAATTATTATTATTGGTACATATGCTGCAGGTATGTACAAGGTGGACACATGACTGCAGCAAACACATCACACAATTAATGAGATGATTTATATTGCTTGATAGTTTTTTTGATTAACGCTGTGCATAATTGTTCTATTTTTTTCATAATAATTTAAAGAGTAAATCTATTCAAAATTAAAAATCAATCGCAGTTGTTTTCTGAAATCGTTAAAACTCCTACCTAGAAGCAAAGTGATCCTTGGGGATCTAGCTGTACCTGGCGTTGCGCTCTGGACGCATCCACTCTCGCGTAGCTCCTGTGTGCGCGGTTGTGAAGGGCTTTGACTTTATAAGCTCCCGACTTGGATGTGGAGAACCATCTGCGCGCCGGCCCAGGAGTGAGTGATGATTGAGCGGCGCTCCCCCTGAGTCAGCCGTGCGTCAGTGCGACTGTGCAAGGCGGTGGTCCCTTTGGCTGAAGAGCGCGCCCATACGCGCTGCTTTGTTGCCCCTTTTTTTTCTTCTTTTTTTTTTTTTTTTTTTTTCTAAACTCAAGCATCACCATGCATCACGTCTGTCATTCCCTGATTCCGCGAAGAAAAATACCTCACTTGTATTGCACGGTCCTGCCTGGGCTTTTTATCTCTTTAACTTTCCCAGCCAACCTGGCAAGACCTTTAAACCCCCCGCCCCCCACCACCGATATTAAATGGCAACCCATTAAAAATCATAACCTGGAATACTCCCCACCCTTTGTAGTTTCACTTTCATTCATACATTCCTTTTTAAATCATTTCAATCGAATCGACCTTTTAAAATTAACACAAAAGCAATCTTGGGTTCCATCCATCGAACTATTTTCTGATCCGCTTATCCTCACGGGTCGCGGGGATCCAAGTGTTTTCCTATCCAAACTAGATGCCGTCCTCTGCTGGCCGTTTTCTTACACTACCCAAATAAAATTCCTTTTTTTTTTTCCTTAGCCCAAGTGTGGCAATCGTGCTGACACAGCGTACAGTCTGTACTTATGGAGAAGCAGATACTTATCTAACTAAAGTCTAGTAAAAGTAATTGTATTGATTCAACTGATTTTCTTCAGAGGGAAGCCACATCCTTTTTTTTCTTTGCAACATGTTGTATTCGGCCCCACTAGTCTAAACACAGGATTCGGATTTATATTGCGTCAATGGGATATGAATTCAGCAGCAAAATCGTCCCGTTTTTATTCATCTCACGGGCGGCCATTTTGTCCACTTGCCGTGGACAGAAAATGACATCACGTGCCTAAGAATTTACGTAATGACCAATCCACATCCATCCATCCCTTTTCCAATCCGTTCATCCTCACGTGTTTCGTAGTCCTGCTGGCGCCTATGAGTCTCCATCCGGCCTCTAGCGTTGTCTCTAAACCTTCAGAATCTTGGACTCTCCCACCTCCAACTCAGTCTTCTGGTCTGTCTGCTGTCCTCCATTTCCTTTCACTTAAGATGGTGCCACTCTTTCACAGATGAGCCCTTCCACTTAAATAGCGCAACGAGAGGATTTTTATGTATTTATTTATTTATTTATTTATTTATTTTTGTTCTTAATTTTAGTGAACTGACACAACTAAATTAAACGTGTGTCATAGAGATGCAGAGCCAGGAGAAAAGGTCACAGCGACACAACAACCGAGTTCAAGTACCTCTCAATTTATGTGCCAAACATGCCTAATCTAACAGTAACATGCATGTTTTGGGGGACCGTGTTCCCTCATTGCATCATATTATTCACATGGCCCTCTAAGGACTTCAAAAATGGCCTTCCGCACGGCTGTCTGAAACATTTTTTGTTCTTTTTACAAGACAATCTGTTGAGCTCTCATGAAAGTCCACACCCTTCCTTAACCGCACGAGCTGCTTGAACCATCAGCACATGCAGCACACACTCCATGGCAGGCACAAATACAAAGTCACCAGGCAGCTGATGTCATGTGAAGCAGCTGGGCCAGTCCATGAGTATATGAGAGGAGGTCAATTAAATGTGTTATTATTCTGACCTTTCTCTTTGGGATCTGTTTATGTGCTCAAATGGACTTTACAGATGATGATGTTGGAGGATGACGTTTCTTTTAAAGTCAACTTTCAACAAGATGACTGCATTCTTGAATGACTATTCAATGGAAAACATGGCATTTTTAGTCTAAAAACTGTAGTTTTTTTCTGGGTGGGGGGGTGGGGGCTTTTTTTGGCTGCAATTGGCTGGTAAACAGACCAGGGTGTAGCTGCTCTCGCCCAAAATCTGTCGGGATGGGCTGCAGCTCGACCATTACTTTAAGACGAGAAGGGATATACTGTACATAATTTGTCTTGCTTTAAAAAACAAAAAAAACAAAACGTTGCAACGTGCATTTTCCTTACTCTTCTCTATGGAAAATGAATAGAAACATTTTGACTTTATGTGACTTGTCACATTTAGTCATCATTACTCCATCTCTCACACACACACACACACACACACACACACACACACACACACACACACACACACACACACAAACAATCACAATAACTTCAACGACATTAAGATAGACCATGGTTATTTTTAGAGGACTTTAAAAGCGTGGTGCATGATACATTGTTATTTTTAAAATGTGTTAGTGACAATTGAACTGCACATAATTATATCAAATAAACAAATAAATGTCCATATGAAATGGTTTATTTGACGAACGTTTTTTTTTTTTTTTTTGTGTAACACATTCAATTAGAAAATTGTTTTAGGAGAGAAATGAATCAGACAATACATAAACAACAAATAAATACAGTTTATTCGCCATGACTAAATGAACGCAAAAACTGTTAACAGGTTTATAGAGCTTTCTTGGACCGCATAGTAAAACGGGGCAGGCCGGACTTTGCTCAGCTCCAGATGTAGAGTCGATTGCGCATAACTCTGTTAAACAATGGCTTTGGCGCAAGGAAAGAAACGAGGCGATATCATTCCGTTCCTGTGAATTTTGTCAACGCACGCCCTCCCCAGTGAAGCGCAAGTCAGAGTTGGGCGGTTGCTATGGCAACAACACGTCAACTTCACCTCGCGCTCCACCAGCACAGCGACCAACATGTTGCCCGTAAGGTCCAAAATGTCCAAAAGGATGATACAAAACCTCGCGGAAAGCATTTGCAAGAAACCGATCCACTGTGAGTATGATTCGCTCTTTATTATTAATATTATTATTATTGTTTTATTGATTTGGAAACTAGGCTTGGAGTGTTTCACCATTGCGCAACTTTTGTCTTGATGATGCGCTCATTTGTCCTTGTTCTTGTTTTACTGGGCCTAGTCAATAAAAGAGAAGTTGAGTGCCTTATCAGAGAGTTCCATGCCTTATTAGAGGAGCCGGCGAGTTCTGCAAGGTCAGTCGGCGGCTTGGACAGATGGAAGTTAAGAAGCTTCTTGCACAACGCCTTTGGACTCACTAACGACACCATCATGGATGGGGGTACAGCACTCTATCACATACAGTGGATACAAAAGCTGTATACACAAATTTTCAGCTGCTAGTTTTTTTTGGGTGAAAAATTAAACAGGTTGCATCTACATGTTCCGGAATAGGCACGTCCAGTTCGTGGTAATATAGTTGTGCCGTACTTTCTCCACGTGACGACTTGCCTTCATTGTGTATATTTAATGCAATGGAAATATCCGGGTACCCTTTTCCTGAATTAGACCTTTGAACACTGAGATCCCTCGGGTACCATGGAAAGTCTGTAGACCATAGCACGTGCTCACTCCCATTTAAGATGAGTTTGAATGTGATCAGTTGCAGTAATTCTCAACACAGCTATCCTCCATGCGAGGGTGTGCACACTTACGCAACCATATTATCTCAGTTGTTTATTTTTGCTTCACTTCTCGAAATGTTTTTTTCAATTAAATTGTAAAGTCTATAAATCACTTTAATGGTTGAAGATGTTTTGATTGACCTTATCTTTTTTTTAATGTCACGAAACCAGGTGTTTGAAAAGAGGTGTGTTCAAACTTTTTTATATTCGCTGTATGTAAAGTCACACTATTATCGAATTGGTAATAGTACTCACACTATGTACTGAAGTAGAAATGTAGTAGAAACTTGTGTAACAAAAAAAGACCAGGAAAAGTACTGTACAAGTACAGAACAAATTTACTGAAGTAAATGCTTAAATGTAATCACGTCTAAAACTGTTTTTAGAGTTGTTTATAGACTGTACTTGTTTTGATAACTTCAGATGTATAGGTATAGTTTCTCTCTAATTAACTTTCATTGTTCTCATACTGAGAAATCTGCCATCAAAACAACACCTAGCTTGCAAAGTGACGAACACGAAATGCTAAATTTGCTCATGAGAACAGAGAAAATATGTCTCACTTGTGTGTGTTTTTTGTTTTTGTTTTTTTTCTGTTCAGATAAGATAGAGAATTTAGGGGCTTGTTATTGTAAGCCTGTCCCAAGACATATTTTTACATTTTTACCATGAATCAATCTTTTCGTTCACAACATCAAAGAATTCATTCTGAATAGGAAATAGCTTGCTTAGCCGAATTTGTTGCGCCATTGTCGTCGAGGCTTCCTGGTTTACGCTGCTGTCCCTCTTTTCTCTATGAAAGATCCTCAAACCTTAATCAATCAGCATATTAACCATATTTGACTTCACCTCCCTTTATTGATCTTTTTACGTTATGTCATGACCACCCACAGAGGAAGAACCTGTTCAATTTTGCTAAGGATCTGGATAATGGTGTAAAGAAAATAATTTCTTCTCTCTGTTCATGGAATCCCATATTGGTGCTTGAGTAAAAATGTCAGTACATTTTATCAATATAATGCCGATTTACAATAGACGATATCGCAACACACTTTACACATTGAGCAGGCAAACACAAATACAGTAACACAATGGATTTGAACATGTCAACAGCTCAGCCTTGGCAAATCTCCGTGCGATTGACTCAAATTAATGACAGCCTTTAGATTTGGACACATTACTGTATGTTTTGGCTCCTCAACTCCACCTGTAAAACAAGCCAAATGTGTCAATCTGTCAATCTATTGTGACATAAAATGTGCTAACCAGGAACGAATTAGCACTGTAAACTCATACTTGACGTTACTGTCGCTCATCCTGCAGTGTTCCGGACATTTGACAAAGACAATGACGGTTTGGTCAGCTTGAAAGAGTGGATTGAGGGACTATCGGTTGTTCTTCGGGGCACCTTGGACGAAAGAATAAAATGTAAGTCCGAAAGCATACAATTCCAAGGAGAACTTCTCCCACTGGGATTCTTTTCTCTCCCGTGCTCCATCATTCCTGTAGACTGCTTTCACGTGTACGACTTGAATGCTGACAAGTACATCACCAGGGAGGAGATGTTACAAATGCTGAGGTACAGCCTCAGACTACCTGGGGAGGAGGACCCTTACGACGGCATCAAAGACCTGGTGGAGATAACACTCAAGAGGATGGTGTGTATCCTATTGAACAGAAAAAAGGACAGAAACACTGAACTGGTGGACATTTTAATTCTAAAGATAAAGACAGGCAAATTAAGTTCACCAGAAAAGGTTTTACTGTATCGTGGACCCTCACATAGTCGTGGTTTAGCATTCGCGGATTCATGCATTCAGAGAATTTTTGGAGGAATTTATTCCGTTATTAGCGGAAGCCCCCACTTATTCACCCTTTTTTCCCCTTGATCGCCGCTTATGCACGTTTAAAAAAAAAATCACTACATTTGTTTTAAGTTCACGGTTAACCTCCTCTGTAACTTCCTCGAGGAGGAAAATCTCTTGACATCCAAATTCCGCTGCTTTATGTCATCACCATTCTCAGGATCACGACCACGACGACAGGCTGTCTTTGGACGACTTTACGAAGTCGGTGAAAGAGGTGAACCACGTGCTTGAGGCTTTTGGAACGTGTCTCCCCAACACCACGGTGCGTTCGATCACTTGTCAAGCATCTTCACCCCAAAGACGTTCTTTCACTGAAGATGTTTTCTCTCTTTTTACAGAGGATTGAGACTTTTCAGCAGCGTGTTTTTCAGAGTCAAGTGCACGGATGATGCGGTCTTTCAAAGATTGCTGTTTTTGTGGATGCAACATCCATTTTCTATAGTGTTTGTCCTCATTAAGGTTGCAGGTGAGCTGGAGCCCATTCCAGCTGACATTGGGCAAAAGACAGAAAGCACACTGGAATGATTGCCAGCCAATGGCTTGGCACATAGCCATGCCCATTGACATTCATATCTATGGACAATTTAGAGCAGGGGTGCCCAACCAGTCGATCGACTTGGGCCCGGTACCCCACGAACTGGTCCCAAGTCAATCGCGGGAGATCTAGGGGAAAATGGATTTAAAAAAAAAAAAAAAGGTGTGTGTCTGTGTGTGTGTTATTTTTTGTGTTAGTGCCCACTGCACCCTAAACAACCTCTCAGTTTCACTTTCACAAAAAAAGTATTAAAAAATATATAACAAAGCAGGTCACCTTTAACCTACGGCGACGCGTGACCTATATCACCGGAAGTTGTTCACGGGGAGAAGTCTGCAATTGCAGCTTGCGATCACAGCTGTTACCTTGCATTGTTTTTATTTATTTTTATTCTCATTCAAAATTTGTTTCTTGTACAATTCACCGATGGCACTGGCAAAGAAAGGGAATCTGAAATGCCAGGAGAATTTTTTTTTTCACGATACACGTGAGCTACGATAGTGACGTTGTTGCACTGAAGACGCTGCCAAAGTGCGTCCCACGCCGCGGCAGACAGGTAGGCGCTGATTCCTTTTTACAAACTCACACGCTCTTGTATCTACTTTATTTTTCTTTTCGTTCGTATTCTGGGACATTATGGCTATTGCTCATCATGCCATGCGCATGTGTATGCGTGCAAGTGCGATAGCGGGTCAATCGTGGCAGGTCGGTTGCTTGAAAAGTCGTTGTTTAATTTGAACCAACAATTTCATTACTTTCATAAGAAATAACCCAAAATTTTGACCCAGCACAAACAATTAAAAAATTGAGTTAATGATTCAACCCAACTGTTTTAGAGTGCACACAAGCATGGAAAGAACATGCAAAAATGTGTAAACAAATCCAAAAGATGTTAAAAGAAGTAATTTCAGTGGTTGTTTTATGAATATTTGGGATGAGAATATCAAGTCACGATCAAATTCGCCGACGTGGTTTAATCTTTTTCCCCACTGGTTTGAGGTCAGGAACCGATTCCACCTAAAAAAAAAAAAAACAACAAAAAAGTCATCTTATTGAGGAACGTTCATTCATTATAAAGAAATTAAATGACAACCGGAATGAGCATTTGACTAAGGCTGGATTTACGATGCATTTTTTTTTTTTTTGCTCTCATAATTTCGATATGCATTACTGCAGTGTAAATTTGAACAAAACAAAACACAAGTACGTAATCTGATATCATCAGATCAGAATCTGGCCTCTTCCAAATGCGAATGAAAATCTGATATGTACTGGATATCTGCTAATGGGAATGCAGCGTAAATGCAAAGATTGTGGATATGAAGTATCCCATGAATGCTAGCTTGCCATCATTCAAATAACTGTGTCGTGTATAAAAGGAAAAAAACCACAAACGAACACAATTTTTTTAAAACACATCAAAGCTATACAAATAGACGAAAAGTGATGTGTGAAAAGTGATGATTGCTGAAGGACACTAGTGGAGTAATTCGCCAGTTACCCTCACTTATGGCATGATCTGTTAGTTTGTATTTCTGATTTCATCTGCTTTGATTGCCATGTTGTTTTTGAAGAATAAATCCATTTTCTTTTTTTGAATTCATTTTGCACTCCTGCCTAGCCTCCCTGCTTCCCTGCACTTTGGTCTTCAACCATGCTGATTTCAAAACTAGTAATCCATTCATTTGTTTTGCACAAGTAAAAATGCGATGAGACGATGAAAGATTTTTGTGGTTTCACGGTCATAATGGCCCCCCTGAGGGAAGACATAACTCCAAAATGACCTGCGACAAAAATGAGTTAGACACCCCTGTTCTACAGCCTCCAAATTGCAATCAGCACCTTCTGCTGGTTGCCCTGCATTTTGACCATTACTGACAATACTTGACCCAATTGTCAACAATAAAAGGAGACGATATATTATGTATTCTAATCATCAACGGTTATTGATGGCTTCTTTAATACTTGTGTACAAATATTTGTTGACAAATATTAAAAAGTCCATTCTTAATCATAGGCCCCCTTTAATTAGTACCGTCTAATACGCTACAAGACAAAAGCGACATGCTACCTGTTTCATTGTGTTCCTTATCAGGTTGACAGTTGTGTTCAGCGAATCGTCGTCCATGTCCACTTTAGGAGTGTCCTCAAGTTTTGGTCCAATGAGTGGCTCATTTTTTCCAACAAGCTCAACCGGCGAGTGTGACACAAGCTCTTCCATTTTGCGTTTTCTGCTCTCCAAGTGTGTTGTCCGCGGTACAAACGTGACCGCAGACGGCTGATTCGAAGTCAGTCTAACGCGTGGACCTAAAGATTTATGTGAGTGTTTTTGGCAGTGGTTTAAGTTTGATGCGGCCGCCTCCTCTTTCGCATCAGCGATGGCATTGTGCAATGTCCCCATTTTGTCCTCTGTTGGTACAGGCCCATGGTGTCTTTTGTGTGTGTTGTTGTGATGTTCCTGAGGAGGAAGTGGCAGTAGAGGAAAGGATGAATGATCGTCCACGTTCCAACATGCTCCTTCACTGTCATGGGCACTCGCTTCATAGTGAGTGGGGATGACAGCCGGTGTGGGTTCTGCTGATGTGGGCTCCTTGTTCATTGCCGCTTCCTGCTCCCTCTCTTGGGCTTTAGATCGAAGAATACAAATTTACAATTAAAATGTAAACATACATTGGGAAAATGCAAGACAAATACACCGTATTTTTGGATTGGAAATGAGGCTGATCATGTTTATCAGCTGATCGGTATCATTTTAAAAAGATCAGATTTTTTTTTTTCAATTCTTAATTTCTAAAGTCAATAAGAAAATATTTTATTTCTTGACTTGATTTGAACCGATGCTGATTTCCAGCCTTATACGAAATGTATCATCTTGGGATCCCTTTATACAAATATAAAAGAGAATAAGTTTAATCAAATAAAAATCACAATTTTTTTCTTGATTTCTTGTTGAGTTTCTTTCCAGTGTGGCCTGAATACTAAGAGTATGCGTGCACCTCTCTTTTCCGCCATCCTCATTACGTATCTCCTCCGGTCCTGCAGCTTCATCCTGGTGTCCTCCACAGTCTCATATTCAGGGACGTAGCAAACATGCAGCACACCGCCATAGAAACTCTTCTCATCCATGTGCCGTTTGGCAGCTCTGAAAAAGACAATTCGCGTTCGCCTTGTTATTCAGATGGGATTCATATTGTGAGGCATTCGATAACATTTTAACAAAGTAAAAATACTTTGTTACAGCATTGAAGTAGATTTATTTTAACATATCTGAACTTTATTTGAGTATTTTTCTCACAGCATTTGACTTTTAAGACCTACATTAGAAAATGTTAGCATTTTTTTATAACTCACTTCCCAACATTAGCAAAAAAAAAAATGTGAATAAGTTGTTTTGGTTGCAAATTTTTGGGCCAAAACTCTCCCTCTTGGTTTAAAAAAAAAAAAAAGACATGCACTATACAACATCATTATTTTTTTTCTTCTCAGTACCAGCACTATGTGAATCATTATCGAGGAAACTATTTCGTGTGTATGTTTTTTTCTTTCAATGTGCTAAGTTTATATATCATTGATAATATATCATTGACAAAATGTCATGTTTACTTTTGTGAAATAGTATTATACTATTACTTGAGTACAGGAGTAGAGGTCTGCTTTCACCTTCACCAGTATTTTTTTTTTCTTAAGGCAAATATTTGTACTTCTTAAGTACGGATTGTGAATCCTTTTACCACCGTTATTGCATTATCGTCACGCAAAAATAGTATGAACCTGGCACTAGTGAGCTTCTGGAACTTGACCAGGTAGACTTCCGTGAACTCCTCCGCGGGGTACTCGTCCAAGGGCCTATACTCTTGCACGACTCCATACAAAGCACACAGCTGTATGAGCTCAGTCATAACTCCAATCGCGGGAACCCCTTGGACCATCACGTAACACGACTCCAAATTGATGGTGTACACCTGACAAGAAGATCGAAGAGAAGACACTGCTCCCACTGCAAAGAGGTGTGTTTACCTTCTTTTGCGTAGGACAAGAAAGCAAAGCTATCTATCACATTCAATTCTCGACTTTATATGAGATGACAGGACTTTTTAGATTACCTTTACGGCCCTGGCTTTCCTCCCCTCTCGATATTTAGGTCGAGAAATGCACACTTTTCGCTGTTCGTGGTGTTTGTAAACATCGGGAGCTTTCCAGCAGCTACTCTTCGACGCCGCCATGCTTGGTAGAAATGTGTTTCCGCTAGCGCTCTTTGAAAATAAGAGTCAACCGTCAAAAGCAACTGGGTGTTTGAAGTACAGTTCACGGTTTTGCTTTGTTTTGAAGTACGACAGGAAGTAATTAAAAAAATAGTCTCCAGTAAAGCGAAACGAGCAGTTTTCATGCTAAATTTAGCACCCCCCCCCCTCCTCAAGTGTCTCAAGTGCTCCATCGCATTTGAACTCTGAACGGAGCGGCGAACGCTAGCATTCACCGTGGGGTGGGGTGTAGCCCCATTGCCCCCCCCCCCCCCTCCTCAAGTGTCTCAAGTGCTCCATCGCATTTGAACTCTGAACGGAGCGGCGAACGCTAGCATTCACCGTGGGGTGGGGTGTAGCCACATTGCCCCCCCCCACCCCCAATTTACATTTGCGCAATTGCAGCGTCCTTCAGCAATCTGGGGACAAATTGACCTTTACCAACATCTCCTGAAAATCAATTGATAACTCAGAGTTTTATTTTAGGAAAAAAAAAAAGCCATGACACTGGTCAAGATATTCCAAAATTTACACCAGGGTTTCCCAACCTCCAATGATCCTGGGCACATTTTAAAAAATATGTCATAAAATATTAAATCACATCAAACAAAAATGTCACAAAAGGCATGTATGATGAAGAGGATTAGGGCCAATGAAGAAAAAAAAACAAGGTTGGCAATTCTGAGATAAAAGTGAGAATCTTGCCAACCTTGTTTTTTTTTTTTTTTCTTTATTGGCCCTAATCCTCTTCCGAAAAATGATGATCTTGTTTCAGTTTACACAGATCACAAAGTAACCTAGTGTGAAATCTGGGTTTGTGTTGCGTGTAGTTGAGCAAACAGCTATTTCAATGTGTTGACTGGCAACGGGCATGTCAATTGTACTTTCTGCCATCTAGTGGGAGAGCATTTAATTGTTCCGCCTGGCACTCTTAATCACTAGCATCGATAGATTACCCATCCATCCATTTTCTGAACCGCTTTATCCTCACAATGGTCGCGGGCCTGCTGGAGCCTACCCCAGCTGTCTTCCGGCAGTAGGCGGGGGACACCCTGAACCAGTTGCCATCCAAATACAGGGCACAATCAACAATACACGCTCACAATCACGCCTAGGGACAATTTAGAGTCTTTAATTAACCTGCCATTCATGAGAACATGCAAACTCTACACAGGAAGGCCGGAGCCGGAATTGAACTCTGCACTGTGAGGTGGACGTGCTAACCAGGTGAGTCTTGATGGCGGACAGTGTGCCAGTGTGTGTGGCGATGCTTCGGCTTTATTTTCTACACACACACACACACACACACACACACACACACACATATATATATATATATATATATATAGTTGACCAATTAAATAGAACTTCATGATTTCCCACAGCACAATTGATTATATGTCACAGCACACTAATAATGGTTGGGAATCACTGCAATAGACAATAGATTGCTTACCTTTGTGGCATTTTTAACCTATTGGCAGGATGTTGACAGCTGAATCGATTCCTCAAGGCTTTCAAATAAAATCTGAAATCTTTGAGATTCCAATAATGTCCCAAATGGCATCCTCACAGATCATGTACACACGCTCCTTCAGTAGCTCAGGACTTAAAGTTACATGTACTGTAAATAACCAAGTACACCATTTTTTGTTTGTTTCCCCTGCATTTAAGTTCACGCACAACCACGAAAACATGACCGTCCAATTGCACTTTAATGCAGAGCAAAGCCGACTAAATACTACATTCGGAACTACACTCTCCATTCAGTGATTATGGGCAAAAGCCAGAGCGTGTAAATGCTTTGCAATTTTAAAGCCACATCGTGCACAGTGTCGCAGTATTTTATGCTCTTGTGATTTACTGTTGTCTTGACGGTAAAAGTCATGTTAGTACATTTGTGTTCTGCTCAGGATTTTTGTACATGACCATTTTTCAGCCATTTTATAAAAACATAGCTCTGTGGTGGTGTTAAATAATTTGGAAAAGATTGAGGATTGCCAACATCAGCGTAATGCTTACCAACATTATAAATCGTTGCACACTAATGAAAGCCCTTGGATGTGACCAAAAAACATGTCAGTCCAGTTATATTGCACCTATTAAGGTTTTAAATTTAAAAAAAAATTAAAAAAGTAATTCACACGGTCTGTGCTAGTGTGGGGAAAAAGTGGCCGAAAAGCACATGTTCTCACATGATTTATTTTAGTCTCTTTTTGCACCCACATGCTGTGTGTTGCCATACTGATAGACCACAAGGACATTTCACGATGTTCTCACATCAGTCTAGCCTGTTATCATTGTCTTCTTGATCCAAGTGACGTAATTGCACACTTTTGTATACACCCCGGGCTTCTTTCTCAGCGCACAGCCTTTCCCCCACGACACAATTCCTTGGAGAACACCCTCACATGTCATTGGACCCCCAGAGTCACCCTGTGAATGAAACAAACACATTCTGACAGCGGGTGTGTCTTCAAGAGGCGGGAACACACCGTTAGGTGACATCTTCAAATTACCTGGCAGGAGTCTTTGCCTCCCTCCAGATAACCGGCGCAGATCATGTTGTCAGTGATTTGGAAAGGATATGCATTAAAACATGCATCATCACTCAGGAGAGGGACATCCAGGCACTGCAGCGTATGAGGAAACCTTGCTAAATAAGAATGGATGAGTGACGATTTAGTGTGCGCAGAAAGCAAATAGGCTTTTACAGTCGGATGATGTTTTTTTTTTTTTTTTTTTTTTTGGTACAGTGGGATCTCCAAAGTCGACTAAAACCAAGCTGAAATCAAATGACTCATCATCAAACAAATGAAGTGAGGAGGCAAACACTTACTATACTATTGTTCTTTTTTTAATATTCTCAGCTCGCCCTGTTCAGCGCCAGGTAAAAAAATGCAAATACGTGATACAGGGAGACCACCTCATAAAAATATGGTTTTGCCCTCCCGCACGCTTTTTTGCTCGGAACGGCATCACAGTTTGTAAATATACTGTAAAAGCCCATTGAAAGGGTCACTTAAAAAAATGGTGGTACATATAGCGAATGATGAAATAGCAAGGGAACATGGTCGTGTATTAATAATTAACCAGTGTTCAATAATACACCTGTGATATACTCAGCATTATCTCTGGCGATATGGTTGATGCGAACTCTGTGTGCCGCAGGGGTGACTCTCTCCACATTTCATTTTTATTTTATTGTTGAAGATGGACTATAGTCACTTCAGCCAATATGCGGGGTTCCCTAACTTCTTTCGGTTACAGATGCGTTCATGATTTATGTTATTTACAGTAAATGAATGAAACTGTTATTTAGAGTTTTAAATGAATAAGTATGTAATTTAGAGAGAAAAATTAGATTAATGCAACAAATAGAGGACTCTTGATCATATAAATGTTTGGTGGGTCAGATTCATATGTATTCATATGTATGTTTCTTGCTGGCCATGCTTTTCCCATCTCTGCTTTAACTTACTGAGCTGATCTACCAAGCTTTCTGACATCTTGCGTGTTGTCACACATGATAGCAAAGTTGTTCTAAAACTTTTAAAGCATTTTTTTTTTCCCAAAAAGTATGACTTGAATGAATTTAGTCACATGACTCACAGCCTTCATCACTGGGGCGGATGCTCCCCCAACCAGAGACATGGCACATGGTCCCATCAGTGGCACATTCAGAAGGGAGCGTCGCAGGGCGCACGTGGTTGTTCAGAGAGGCGGGTTCACTCAGTTTGATGAGCATGATGTCGCTGTCCTGTGTGCGGGGGTTGTAGTCGGGGTGGCGAATGAATTTCGCAGACATGATGTGCTGTTCAGGGCCCTCGGGCTCCCAGATGTCGTGCTCACCCAGCCGCACCTCGACATTGGATCTAGATGAGGCATATTAATTCATGAATACTCCTGTGTGGAGGCTCATGATTTAAAAGGTGCCGGTTATGATGATCTTCTTTCTCACTTTGTTCTGCAGTGGGCAGCAGAGAGCACCCACTGTGGGGACAGGAGAACTCCTCCACAGAAGTTGTAGCCCGTGAAGAGAGACACTTGGTAGGGCACTGAGTTTCTGGGACACTCGTACCCACCAACTATCCTGTCGTCATCTTTCAGGGCAGCTGCAACTAAAGTTAACAAACCACCAAAGTAAATATCAATCAGTCATCACATGTACGGTGGATATATACAGTACATATATATCGAAACATGCTTCCACAATTTAATTGACCTGTACATCTCAAATGATATATACAGTATATATATATATATATATATAGAGAGAGAGAGAGAGAGAGAGAGCAACGAAATTGTTGTTTTTCATGGTCGTTTGGCCAAATCCATCAATGTAAATGTAAACATTATGCCTTTGCTTCATGTCCATGCTGAAGGATCATGGTTATCCATGCAGTGAGGCGTCATTTCCTGAGGGAGAGCCATGTGTGTGGCAGCTGGGCCAGGTATCCTTAGAGACTTTTTTTTCTGTCGAATACACTCTAATGTCAAAAGCTTCAATGTCAAGTCAATGAGATGCAATTACAACAACAAAAAAATGCCTTGACAAAAATAGTGATGCTCAATTTGACATTGTCAGAGTGGTCTTCAATTGACATTTGTTATTCCATGCAGAAGACAAATATCTGCATATTGGTTTAATGTGACTTAACATGCCATATATTCTCAAGGATGTGGCAGAGACAGATGGGTGGCAGAGTTTACACCGAGATGGATTTTGACCAGGAGGAAACAAAGGCCAAGCTGCTGGGCTTCCCTGGAGGTTCCATTGATCTTTCCAAACAGGAGTCTGGCATTGCTGTCCTCAAAATCAACAACCCATCCCACATGAATGCCTTTACCGGTTAAGTTTGATGAAAAAACACTCCGGATATACTCTCTGTACATGTCTTTTCTCTTTGCTATTACCGTACATGTAAACTAGAAAATCCCACCTAGTCTGCCATTGGCACATTAGTGTGCCATAAGTGATCAACTGGTATGCTGTGGGAAAGTATCGCATTTCATTTCATTGGTCCAAAATCATGAATTACAAATCTCTATTCATCTATTCATGCCAGCAGCGTATAGTGACAGGCAGAGACGATTAAATGCTCTTTCAGTTAAGTTGAGAAATGACACCATTAAAACCGGCGGATCTACCTTTTTTTTCTTTTTGACAAATAGGTTTGGTGGTGTGTCATGAGATTTTTCGAATGTAAAATGTGTTCCTTAGTTCAGTAATGGTTGGGAATTGTGCTGTTCTATCCCAGGTACCATGATGGTGCAGTTGGAGGAAAAGGTGAGCCTCCTGGAAGAGTGGGCCGATGGAAAAGGCCTCATACTCCAGGGTGCTGCGGGAACGTTCTGTTCCGGATTGGACCTCAATGCTTTCAAACAATTATCCAAACCCCAAGTATGACTCTAAAAGTTTGCAGCTCTGAAGCATACACCCTTAAGCAGAGTACTTCTCTTGCGATCAAAGTCAGCAAATTTTTGGAAGTGTGAAAAATTATTCTGAACACGTATTCATTTTTATTTTTGTTTGTAAAATTTTTTACGTGTCCTATTCAGCTGCTTGGTCATCCAGAATAGATTACCTGTATTGCTTTTCATGTGGAAATAGTTTGCTACTGTGTAACAGGGGCTCTTGATAAACTCCCACTAGTTATTTGATTGTGAATGTAAATTATTGTCTCCTGAAGTGATGTTGCTTTTGTCTTGTAGGATGGCATGGAGATGTGTATGTTTATGCAGAATGTTCTGACAAGACTACTCAGGCAAGGGGCCATTTTTATGCCGCATCATTAAATCTTATGCGGTTTTATGTACTTGGAGCACAATACTCTATGTGATGTTCCCAGTGCAGGCTGCCTCTGATCTCCGTTGCCCTTGTGGAAGGGAGAGCTCTGGGTGGAGGCGCAGAACTTACCACTGCCTGTGATTTCAGGTACACACACACCAATTTTGAACCATCATTTTTTAAAATATTAGGGACCCCACACATGACAAGGAAAAACAGTGTTAAATGGTTGCTTCCTCCTCGTCAAAGTATGTGATGTACTCGAGGCGTCTAACACAGCACAACACACACACACGCACGCGAAATATCCCGATTGCGAGTGTCTTACACCAACTGAGGGTCGTGCCACAGAAGACTGGAAAATACAAAGAAAAAGAAGTTGGACTATTAGTTAGCTTACATGCTAAGTACATTCTAATCGTTAACTCCTCTCCTTGTGATTTTATTGTGGTAAATGACACGTTAGAAAAACGCTCAACACAAGCAGTTGTCCCTCTATTTGGCATGGTTACTTTCAACTGTCAGCTTCAACTGTTTGCCAAGCAGTTTTGGGAGGAACAATAACCCTGAAACACACTGCTCACAAGATAAGTCTTTCCGAGACTTACTGTATGCTTGGGCTCTTGCGAACCTGGATTGAAAGAGGAGATATGCTTGAATTTTGTGTACCTTTTCATCAAACAGGATAACCCAATCTTGCTCATAAAATCATTTGTGTCTAATACTTGTTTTTCAGATTAATGGCACCTGGCAGTGTGATCCAGTTTGTCCACAAACACATGGGTGTGGTCCCAGGCTGGGGCGGAGCTGCTCGACTCGTCTATCTTGTCGGAAGCCAGAATTGCCTCAAGTTGCTCTGCAGTGCTTCAAAAGTGGATCCTGAACTTGGCCTTCATATTCGGCTGGCAGACGGAGCTCTCAAAGACCCCCTGGTCGAGGAAGGTGTGGGGACTGTCCGACAGCAGGCTGAGAAGTGGCTCAGTCACTACACGAAAGGGCCACCAGCAGTTATCCAGGCTATTAAAAAGGTCACCTTGTCAGGGCGAGAGCTCCCTCTAACGGAGGCTCTGAGGACTGAGAGGGAGGTGTTTGGTACTGTTTGGGGTGGTCCATCCAACCTGCAGGCACTTACCAGCAAGTCGAAACACAAATGAGCACATCATATTGACCAGTCAAATGCAAAAGACTTGAATCATTGCAATAAACCCAACAGTGGAAACTGTGTCGGTCAAACTTGGAATGAATAAAACCTTGCTGCAGTGCATTTTAACAACTAGGATGATGTTAACCCACCGAGAGAAACTGGTCTGAAACTAGTCTGTCATTTGTCATGTAACCTGAAATTGTTCTGAGCGTGTTTCATTGACACTGTTTACAATAGTAGGGTGTCACGCTTCATTATGGAAAAAAAAATCACGTACATCTTTTTTGCCGTGTTTTCATTTTTATTTTCTCATCTGATCCTTGACCTTGTAAATTTAGTTGCTTTGGTTTTATTAAAGACACGGTGAACATTCACCACACTAAGAATACTTATTTTGTAAGCTTATTTGGGATTCAAAAAGGGATGCTTTTGTGACAAATGTCATCTGTTAGTCGAAATTTATTGTTGTAAAGCAGGGGTGTCAAACTCATTTTTTGTCGCAGGCCACTTCGGAGTTACGGCTTCCCTCGGAGGGCCGGTGCAAAATCTCAATGTTATTACCCATGACAATTTGACATTTCGGTACATATTTCAGCAAGAATCATGATAGTCAACACACATGATTTGCTCCCGCGGGCCACATAAAATGACATGGGGGCCGGATCTGGCCCCCGGGCCTTGACTTTGACACCAGTGTTGTAAAGGAAAACAATTGCAAGTCACACATAATAGTAGGGCAAAAAGAAAGACCACGTGATGATGAAATGACCATTTATTAAATTCACAAACCCAAGTAAAAAAAATTTCCAAGCGAAAATTGTTACAAAAAAAAAAATCCATTTAAAGTGGTAACAACTGAGGAGATTAAGCTCGTAGAGTAACTTCAAACTTTTTGATTCGGAACGGCTTGATGTATTTACTGCCTCATTGGATTTAAAACCAATGTCAAAACCAAAGGACATTTAGCCACACCAAACCCAAAATATCAAGAGCATCTTGTCACACGTCGCGTTAAAATAACTCTTCAAACATGCACCAGTTTAACCTTCTATTTTAGCAACACATCAGTGAGGATACTCGGGTTGTAGCCAACTTATAAATGTACAACACTAATGCTTAACATTAAAGTTCCAATTTTTTTTACAATTGTACGCACCCTCTTAAACTGGGATGTGGCTTTGTTCAGAATTAACCAATCACAATCAAACTTCAAACAAATGGCTGTCAACACACACTGCCACCGTTGAAAGTGTTTTTGGTTCTCGTTAGATTTTAATAACGCTTTTGCAATGTTTACATGGGCATCATGTCTTTGGCAATGTTCAGCGCGATAAACTTTGCCCTCCGCCCTCCTTTCTTGTTACACAGAAAACAATGCAAAAATGATTCTGCTCATGCTGTCTTTTCAAGACAATAAAACTCACGAAATAAATCGCAAGAGTTGTACAAATTTATTAACACCAAATAGCTGAGTTGGCAAAATTAACTGCTTTTGTAAAGTAACCTCGCTGTTCACTGCCATGTTGTTAGTCAAAGTAATGTAATCAAGACATGGAAGCCACTAAAAAAGAGTAAAATATATACATTTATTTTAAATCAGTCAGACAAATAAAGTCTAATTAATTGATAATCAATTAAGTGCCCAGCCGCGATTGTTATGAAAAGTCTATGCTTCTTTGCTATAGAATGCAATTTATTTTTACTTTACCTGCAATTCCACAGAGAGCAAAGAAAACCAACAGCTTCATCCTGAGTCCAGCAGTGTTCATGTGACTTCAGGATATTCCTCTCAGCAAAGTGAGTGGTCTTATCTCCTTGTTTTTTTTTTTTTTTTTTTTCCACACTTGATTGGTCAGCAGGCCCTCTATAGACCCAAACTATATCCATAAAAATTAAAAAGTCCATTTTCCGTATTATGTCCTGTAGAAAATCCTTAATGTTATTTTTGAGAGGAAGTTTTGTTAAAAGTACTTGCGGGACCCTGTGCAATAAAGTGAGATTTCTGAACGAAAATGTCTGACACGTACGGTAGCACACGCATATTCAGTGTTTTCTGTTTAAAAAACACTCCAGAAATGATTTTGTGTATCCAAAGAATTGAGACATCTGCTCCATTACCCATAAATTGATTATGTTTACAGTTCAGTGGATTTAGTGTGAGCACACCCGTGTAAAAACTAAACAAAAGTAAAAATACAAATGAAAAATTGCATTTTAAATGCTAAAACAATTTGAAAATTATTACCGCCAATGAACATTTAGTGAAAAAGAACCAAAAAATAGCTCACACTGAGGCAAGTCATGCTGACAGACTCATGGCCAAAATGTGTTGATATTGAAAATAATAATTCAACCTTTAACATGTACAATTATATTGGAAAATAAATCAATAACATGTATTATAATTATTATTTTAAAGTTTTGAAATGTTCAACCATGAGGTTCAATGACAGAAATGTGTTCACTTTGCTTATGAACTTTAAGTAGATTCTATTCACAGATTACAATCTTTCCAATTTGGGCTGTTTTTTTTCGATGCATGTTGGTGTTTTGTTTGTTCTTTTATTTCAGTAATGTCGATAGCTCATTGTAATGGCAAGAAGTTTGTGGCTATATCGCAAAACGTGATGTTTTTAACGTCACCTTCCACAGTGCTAAACTAAAGTGTGAGTCACCTGTATGTTGCCAGTCAATAATTCATTTTAGTTTATGGTTATTAAATCAGAAATATGAATTCATTATGCAGTGGCTTTCTGAGTCATAGTGCGTTACTCATGTATGAACATATAGGCGGTAATTGACAACAGACAAGAAGACAGCAAAATGGGAGAGTGCGTTGAACCAAACCCTGTGATTATACACTTAAGGCTAAAATACAACACATTCCCTTCCAGCGCAGGCAGGTTCGACCTCAGTTTTGCATAAACCCCCATCTCCGTCTTGCAACTCAGGGCTTATTCTTTTTGACTTCAAATAAAGCAAAACAGCATTTATTGGCCCCACCTTGTCGAGTCATTCCTTAGAACAGCTTCTGCTACTATTCTTGTATTCATTTCTCTGAATTCAATTTGATGTGCAAATAATTTTACTGAGCTGCGGTTTACTCTCTCAATTGTGAATAACAATGGATGATACCACGAGTGGTGTCTGTTATACCGCTGGAATGGGACGGAATCTTTGTTCATGCGCCATATTTGTTCATTCACATTATATTGTCAATGGAAGCTAACCAATTTCAACACTTTAGATTGTTCGTTCATTTGATAAATACAAATACATAACAAAGAATGAAAATCACCCACATATGTGGACGGACCAATAGTATACATTTGTGAAAGAAATATGAAATTGTGACATAGGAGGTTCCGGCCTGACACCTGCCAAATGCAACATAATGGTGGCTCACCAACCAATCCGGCGTATACCCAACCTACTTCCGCATTCGGCACAACGTGCAAAAGCACTTCCTCCTTGCCTAGGTGAATGGTGAAAGGCCACATTGACTTGGTTCCCGTGGGAATTTCAAACATCAACAATGTCTTTTGTTAACATGCCACCACGGTGCCACCAAACATAACAATAACTGAGCTTTCATCTTTATGTTTCCGTATATGCTATCATATTTGTATAAATAAATGATGTACACTGGGTTGAACATTTGGCCAAAGACACCAGCCGTAAAGATTTTCTTCATTTATTCTGTTTTAGTAAATTCGACTTCAATCATGTCATCAACGCGTTGCCTTGCTCGTCACTCCAGCATCCGCAGGAAGTCAACGATCACGTTCTGTAGTGGTTACAAACCAAGAACATTACTCTACTCCTTTTACTGTCTGAAGCTGTTTTTTTCTTCTTCTTTTCCGATGGTAACATTCTTAACTGCAAAATCAAGACAAAGCATTTGTTATTCTTGATCAAGCTTTGATCCAGAAAGTAAACCGCAACCATGTGTCTGATTCCGTTTTTGTATTCACTTGTTGCGAGGCAAAGTTCATCGATCTTGCCCAGTTGACCAATACCATACACAGAAAGACACACAAATGATTAGCAGAGGTCTGTACACACTCTTTCCGCAAACCGCGGCCATCCCTCTTTGAGACGCTGTATCCCACTTTGCCGTGTGGTGCATTATCCACTGAAGACTAATAAACATCTTTTCATCGCCGTTAGAAAATATGGTACTAATTGTATTTAGTCTCGTTCATAGTTGCTATTGTTCTTGCACGGACTGCTGACCCCATTTCAATTTCCTGCACAGCAGGAGAAATCACGAGAAAGCATGCTGCATACACATCTTCCCTGATTTGCCAAAGAAATATCACTTTGTCGACTATAGACTGTATATTAAAATGGACGTTGTGGAGAAGAGTATAAACTCAAATAAATACATTATTTAATAGAAATGAACTCAGTCGATCAAGTGTTAAATTTTCTCGCTGTGACATGTGACACCCAGATGCCTGTTTATTGACACATCTGCAGAGCAGAATTGATTAAAGTGGATAAATAAAAGGCATTTGTTTAAAAAAAAAAAAAAACGTTTTTGCCTTGTATCTGAACTCAATTATATTGATAATTACATAGGTCCTAATGTTAATTTTAGTCTTGCTGACCTTGCAACGAGTAGGGAATTGTGTTTATTTGACCATCTGGTGCCCCCTATTTAACCAGTTCCGGTTCCCCTCATCTCATTCAACTGTGCCTCCAAATAAACCGGTCGAGAAAAAGAAAGCACTGTATGACTTATGCATTACCAGGCTTCTTTTCTGTCAGATGGAGCCAAGGTTGATTATTCATATCCCTTTGGTCTGCTGGAAGGCACCAAACCTTGTGGTGGAAAATATAAGGACCAAAGTAAGGAAGTGGTTTTGGTTGTTGAGGCATAGCTTTTTTCCCCCTTGTGTGCGGTGTATTTTGTGGAAAAAAAAAAGAACACACCAATGAGGCATAATGGGGGCAAGCACAGTTGGCACTCATTTTGACTTGGAAAAACAAAATCCCCGACCGTTCCACACTCGGGGAGACCAAGATCTGACTCCCAGTCAGCGCCGGAACAAGACCAACAAACTTTTGAGGGCTCAGCTTTCTGCGGATTCCCACTATTTGTGTCTTTATGACGCCGCCGTAACCGGAATCCACAAGTTCCATCAGCATTGTCTCACTCAGGCCCCGAAAGCAAAACGCGGCGTGCTTAACTGTTTTGCACTGCATAGCTATGATAAATACCAGTTGAATTACAGTAGAATGACTGTGGAAACTCCACTATGTTATTAGCGTGCCGCTGCGCCACACACAAGGACACGCAGACAGTAGCGTGCATACATTGTGCTTTAGCACGATGGGTTATTCCCCCACCTCCCCAAATCCAATATCATGAATAATAAAGCCACATAGTCCAACTGCGTAGATCGTTCTGCTCTGGCATTCTCCTTAAGCCTCCACTGGTTCCTTCTACACACCCAAATTGGTATTTGTGTGGTGTACGCATAATTGCAGGCTTGGTTGGTAAATCAAGAACTTTGGCAAAGCTCCGCACTCAAAAGGCTTCCCTCAAACTATAGCCTTGAGATGACTATTAATATCCCCTACAGACACCAGCAAAACGCTGTGTCTTTTGCTTCTGTGAGAAGACTGCGTACAAAAAAGGTTTGGGGGTGGGGGGGGATAAAAAATTTGTCAAACGCATTCAATCTAATTTAAACAAAGTCGACCGTCTGTCTAGACTTTAGCTCGAGCAGACGCGGTCGTTTTTCGGAGGTTGCTGACGTGCATTTGTTGGTCGGGGTGCAAGCATATGGGGAAGCTTTGGTTATTGATGTGTCCGAGATACAATAGTTGGTAATGAGTCCTCCCACGCGCTCCAAAAAGGGCGTTGTTCGAACTCAAGCTGAGCGTGAGCGTGTGTAAATGGACACAATCCCTGACTTGGAGTGTTTTTTACTCCCCCCGTTTCCCATTCTTCCTCCCCCTCACATCTGGACTATTGGCAGGGATCTGTTCCTGTGTGGTTGTGTTTGTATATTAGCGGGGAACTCGGTTTTGGGGTTGGGCAGGTCTTGGTAGCTTACTTTGCAGTTCTGATCATCTCGCCATTTTGAGCAGCATATTGTGTTTTACCACACCAACTTGTGAAATAAACAAATGTCCAATTATCATTATAAAGCTCACCGCTCTAAAGTCAAATGCACCTGAAGTTGTACCGTGTGGAATTCAACTAAATCTGAGTCTGAGCATGCATGTTGCTTTTTCATTGGCTTTTGGTGCCTTTTGGCCCTATTTTTTTTCCCCAAAAGTGCAAATAAAACGTCAGAATAATGCCCAAGTCCCATGCCAGCATACCTCATGAGCGCTCAGTTCAGCAAGCATCAAAGAACTGACACTGTGCATGCGTTTTGCTTTTTCTTTGGCTTTTTGTCTCATTTTCCCCCCCACCCCGCAAGCACTTATGTCAAAAGGTCAGTGCTGTTGTGTAAGACAAGACAACAGAATAGTGCACGTAAACCTTAACACCTGACGAGAGCTCACTTCAGCCGGCATCAAATGACCAACTCCGTGCATGTGGTTTGTTTTTTCTTTGGCTTGTTTTTGAAACACTTATGACAAATGCTCAGCGCTGTTATGCATGACAAGGATTCAGAATATCACGCAAGTCCAGCATACGTCAGGATGGCGTCAATGACTCTGCGAGTGTGTTATGTATTTTCTTTTGACTGTGCCTGAAATTTATCAAGTCTAGCGACCAGCTGGAACCATTTGTGATGAGAAGAGCACAACATGAGAAAA